CGTGGCGATAGACAGTGAATAGCCTATGTCGATTGGTAGTTCGTACCGGAAGGGCAATCGAACAATGTACCGTCCTTCTGGAGAACGGCTATGAGTGGCGAGGAAGTGTTGTTCGCAACGCTCCTCCTCGTCGGTAAGTGGAGGGGGGCGCTAGACCTCCTCGTCCTCCCAGAATTGCCTGAGAAGCGAATTCGTGTCGTGCGTAGACACGTTATGACAGACGCAAATATTCTCGGATTCGATCCGGCCGCGACCCGTGGGGCCGGAGATAATCCAGCCTAACGCTGTCAATTGAGCGGTAGGAGTTCCAATAGAGCCTTGCCGGAGGCCATTTTTCAACAAGGAACCGTACAAGTCGGCACCGATTAGTAAGTGAATCCGATGTCGACTTGAAGGATCGGGATCGGCAAATGAGATGCCTTGCAAGTGAGGCCACGACTCGACGGGCTGAGTCCGTGACGCGGCGTACGAAGTAATATTTTGAAACACGTAGGCGTGCAGCGGAAAGCCCGGTTCCGCACTGGAACACGGCTTTAATGTCAGCACGACGCGAGATCTCGCGACGCCTGTAAATTTCGCGCCGAAACACGCAACTTGCAAATTTGAGCGTTGTCGCTTTGTACGCAACGTCTGACAGAACGATTGCGAAATAAAACTGAAAGTGGATCCTTGATCCAGTAAGGCGCGAACTTTAAAGCTTCGGCCTTCGGTCGTGTGAACGTCAACCCATGCGGTTGCCAAGAGGACATTCGAAGGAACCGTGTCCGCGGGGGGACCGGTCCGTTTGTTCGCGACATGATTGCTGCTCGCAGCGACTGGCGCGTTGGACGCCGTCGGAGTGAATGGTTGCGCCTCCGCTTTTATCTTCGAAGAATTTGCCGTAGCATCAGCTTTTACATTATTTGAGAAATGTAGTAACGAGTGATGTAAACGACTACAGTGCGAACATCGAGATTTGCTCGGGGATTGCTCGAGATTGCTGAAGGAAATGCTCGGATCTCAGACAATTGAGGCAAAGCCTGCTTTGACGCGCGAAATCGCCGCGCTGCTCAACCGTTTTATCAAGAAACTCTTTACATTTCGAAACCGAATGATTTCCGGAGCAACCAACGCATTTGTTTGCAGTGACGTTATTAACCGACGAGCGCGGCTTATCGTCTTTGTAACGACGAGTATCCTTCGGCGAATCGGAAAGATCGGATAATCCGCGAATGCGTAGAGTCAGAAAGTCATTAATATCTTTGTAAGACGGAAGCCTGGCGAATTCCGTACGTTTCAAATTCCATTCGCTGCGAGTGCGAGGACTAAACTTTTTAGCAATAAGATAAACGAGCAGATCATCCCACTCATTTACCGGACGATCGAGATTCTTTAGCGCGGCTAACGACGACGAGACCGTATCGCGGAGTTTTCGTAAGTCGTTCACATTCTCCGTTTTCATCACAGGTAGACTAGCAAACGCGTGCAAATGCGTATGAAAAAATAAGATAAACGAGCAGATCGTCCCACTCATTTACCGGATGATCGAGATTCTTTAGCGCGGCTAACGACGAAGAGACCGTATCGCGGAGTTTTCGCAAGTCGTTCACATTCTCCGTTTTCATCACAGGTAGA